AGTTTCAAATGAAAGGAGTTTGTTCCTGATCACCCAGAGGGCAAAAGGGGAGCTGATATTTTGACACAGCTTTCTGCCATCCTGTGGGAAATTGCACCAGGGCTAAGGGTAGCAGAGGAACAAGGCCCAGACTGTCAAGTCCCTTTCTAACAGTTCCTGCCAACAGATTGTACAACTGTCTGTTGGTCTGCATCAGGAATTTTCCCATGCCCAGCATCTTCTCTGTCACTTTCCTTTTTTTTTTTTTAATGAAATGTTATATTAGTTAACTCTTCATGACTATAATGAATTACCTGAGGCAGACTAACTTTATAAAGAAAAGAGGCTTATTTAGCTCATAGATTTGGAGGTTTAAGAGCAATGTGCTGGTACTGGTTCAGTTCTGGTGGTATCTTTCTTGTGGCAGTCACTAGGCAGTATGTGGAGTCACAAACAGGAGACAGAAAGCATGGCTGTCTGTGTCTGTATCATTGGTCTCTCTCCTCCTTCTAGTAAAGTTTCCAGTATTCAATCATGGAGGAATCCACCCTAATGGCCTTATCTAAACTTAGTAACTTCCAGGAGGCCCAATTCTGAACACCATAAGCGGATTATGTCTGTACCCTCTTAACAGTGTTACATGCCTTCAGTGATTGAACTCCTGCATAAATCTGGGGGAACAAACCAGATTGAAACCATAGCAGATGTCACTCTCTTAACCACAGAGGCCCAGGATTCAGCAGCCTCGGGGGCTCCTGATTTCCACAGATGGCGACCACATTGTAGATCTTCACCAATGCATAGACAAGCCTAACCCAGTTCCACTTTTCACCACGTGCCCATTACAGATGAAGACATCAAGGCCCAAAGAATTTGTGAGTTCTCTGAAACCGTGCTGCTAGTACCTAGAGGAGAGAGCATGTTCAATCCAGGACCTTAGCATGGCTTTAGGCCTCTCCTTATGAGAGGGTCTTTCCTGAAATATAGGCACCTGGTGACTCCTCACCCTCCTGCATGGTGTCTGGTGGCCTCCAGCTCTGCACATGCCGTGACTTTTCATGACACTACACACACAGCACCTCACACTGCTACTCTCCAGGTGCCACCCTCTCTTAATTTGACTGACTGTTATTTTCTGGAACTTTTCCTTGTATTCAGAAGCCACCACTCAAATAGACCCTTCCTCACACCGAAGCCATGTACCAATCAAAGACCTACTGATTCCTCCTGGTCTTCTCAAGTGGAACCTTTGCACCTTTTGTCACTGGGTGGATCTCCCACAAAACCCTTGTGAATGAGGACAGAGGGTGAGAGTGAATCAGTACCGTCTTTCATCAGGACTCTTGGTCCAGACTGGATTAGCTTATGTGTGTGTTGGCCCCAGTCATTAAGGAAAGAATATTTTCACCACTTCTTCTCCTCTTTTACCTTTCTTCTCTCCACCTGTCCAAAACTTCCTGATTCTTAGCAGACAGAATTCAGAAAAATCATCGGTTGATACTATGTCTTGGTCAGGTGGGGGGATGCAGTGCAGTCTGTGTGTGTGTGGTGTGCGTACCCACACATGTGTGCATGCAATTTGTACTAACAGATTCAGGGTTATAAGTCAGGTTATGAATTACAGTTTCAATAGAGTGGCTATATAGCATAAGTCAAGTATAAAGCACAAGAGACTGGCAACTTTCTTGGATATTTTGGTGGACTCTGAGATAATAAATCAAAACACAGGATGCTGTGCAAGACTCAAAGACTTGTCACTTCCAACTCATTACACATGGGTGCTTTACAAAAATATTTACATTGAAATCTTGAAGATATGGGTAGAACATTGTGTTCAGAATAACAGCCCTCATAATAAGAAAAATAGTACTTCAGGCTGGAAAGAAGTCTCAGTATTATTTTATTTTTGTGGTAACCAGAAGGATTGCCTGTGGTGACATGGCCTCCTAGAGAGGGTTCGGAAGAACTGGGGACCCCCTCACACCCGTCTAGCCTGAGTCCGGGCAGTAACATGCAGGGCCTGCCCGCTTTCATGTCCCAGCGTTCACTTGCACTGTGATCTTCGTTGGGCAATTTGCTGATTCCACTAAGGCTCAGTGTTTTAGTTTAGGCTACTGGAAAAATCCCATCCACTGAGCAGCAAATAAACAACAGAAATTTATTTTTCATAGTTCTGCAGACTAGAGGTCCAAGATCAAGGTGCTGGCAAATTCTGTGTCTGGTGAGAACCTGCTTCCTGGCTCACACTAGGCTCTTTCTAGCTGTGTCTTCACATGGTGGCAAGAATAGCAGAGCTCCCTTGGGCCTCTTTTCTAAGGGCACTGATCCCATTTACGAGGGCTCTGCCCCCATGACCTTGTCACCATCCCTTGCTTCCTAATACTGTCAACTTGGGGTTCAGGATTTCAACATCCGAGTTTGGGGGAATAAGAAGGATTCAGACTACACTACTCAATTTGCTCATCTGTAAAATGGGGGCAAAACAGTCACCCTTCAGTGTGATTGTGTGTGAGAGAATCAGTGAGTGAAGGGCTTCCCAATGTCTTGCCCCATCTGTGCCAAGAAAGCACCATTCTTCCCCCCAGATGCTCTTAACTAACACTCCAGAGGGGAAAAGAGCAGTTTGATTCCATCCTTGTCTCAGAGTAAGGAAGCAAGTAGGATTAGTTTTGATTCTTGAAAGTAAATTGCCTCTTATGAGGAACTTTGTACTTCTTTGTTTTAAAATACTAAATTGTTTTAATAAAAACTATGAAAGAATACAAAGTGTTCTAATAGTTTAAACTTTAAATTTGTTAAAAACAATTTTTTTCCTACAGTATTAAATTTTAAGGAGACCAAATATGGTATCAATGCCACAGTAAGAAGTACCATATAGATATGAATCTTGGGCATGTTATATCTCACTGACATTGTTACAATCAACCTCATTGATATCATTTTTTTTCTTTTACTCCCCCCTCCCCGACTCCCTTCTTTTTTGTGTTGGGGATTGAACCCAGAGCTTTGAGCACTCATTGATTTCTTTTTAAGGGAAAATTATTTTAGTAAAAAATTTTTGGGGGGGATAAAATTGTTCATATAAATATAATCTGCTTTTTTTGTGAATAGTTAGGAAGTGTAGTATTATTAATGAGCTAATTTGAAAGATTGAGAGAAAATGCTTTAAAACTAGATTCAATGATAAGGCTAATATTTGCCGTGAACTTGGTGGTTGTTCATCAGTAGATGAAGAATAAAAATAAGGGAATATATTTATTTGGATTTTCAAAAAATGTTTTGTTTTCCTGAAATTATTAAGGGATAAATTAATCTTCATTCGAGGGAAGGAGGATGCTAAAAATGTGAGAATTCGATCAGATGAAAAACCCAGAATCAGCTACACTTGTCCAGGGAAATCAAGATTTTGCAAATATTCAGGTAGACTTCTTACACATCATTCCCAGTCTGAAGTTTCCTTTGTCTCCCCAGTCCTAACTCATATCCCAGTTTAGTAATCCTGCAAGAATCCCCCATGGCTCTAAGCAGATGATGGGACCCCAGCTTGCTGTGATACAGTGACAGCATGTACCTGAGAGATTTGGCAGTACCTGAGACTAAACATTAATTTTAGTTCAGGTGGCAGGGTGGGAAAGACCCTTTAAATTCAAAATAAGTACAGATTAGGTGAAAATGCTTTTAAATGCAAAGTACAATAAAAGGATCAGTATTCAGAATATGTAAGAATATTTACAAATTAGCAAGAAAAAATACAGCAAAGTATAGTAACCTCACTTGTATTCAAAAAATACAACAGAAAAAAATCAGATTGGCACAATTGAAAATTTGATAATATGTAGTGTTGATTAAGGTATAGGAAAATAGTTTCTCTTCTGTCAGAGTATAAGGTGACTTAGCCATTTAAAAATGCGTTTATTACAGGGGGCTGAAGATGTGGTTCAGTTGGCATAAAGCTCACCTAGCATGTGTGAGGACCTGGGTTCAATCCTTGCCCCTCAAATAATTTGTCACTGTAAGAAATGTGTATATTCTAGGGACCAGCTATTTAATTTCTCCATATCAGCTTTGAAAAAGCTCTTGTACTTAACACACAATGAGGCATGCACATGTATACACAGTGCAGCATCACTTAAAATCATGAGAATCGAAATGCAACTCAGTGCCCAGCAAGGCAGGAGTGGCCAAGTAAACCATGGTGCTTCCAGAACATGTGAAACTATCAGCAGTTATATGGAATGAGCTAGAACTGGGTGTGTTGGGGGAAGAAAAGGATCTCCATGAGAGGCTGAGAAAACAAATTGTGAAATAGTCTATAAGATGTGATGTGTCACCATTCATTTAAAAGGCAAAGGAGGGAAGAAGGGAGGGAGGGACTGAAGAAGGAAGAAGGACAGAAGGATAGAAAAGGAGGAAATAATACTAGAGACTTTCTATAGTAGTGACTTTCAATGTCTTTTGGAAATAACCCTCAATAAGATACACCCATCATGTCTTGATGGAGTGGACCCTTACTACATGAGATGTACTCTGAAATTGTTCTTTCCTGTTCTAATTTGCTTTGTTCCATTTGTCAAAATGGAATGAATCGAATTACAACACATTAAATTGATTTCAGGACTCAACCATAGTTTGGAAAGTAGTGTTCTGGAGATACACACACCACACACACACACACACACACACACACACAAATGGATAGAAAAAGACCAAAAGGCAATACACCAAGTTGATATTAGGGATTATCTGGGTAGGTGTGGAAGTGTGGGGTGGTTTCTAGGGAGCCTGAGCACCATCTGTAATACTTATATTTTGATCATTTGCTGTTTTATAAGGAACAAACATAATTAAACATCTGAAATTTAGTTTTTTGAATAAGCCATCAAAACTATTTTTGAAAGTCAAGAATTTACTGGGATTAAGAGGGTAGTGGTCTTAAGGGAAATAATTTTCAAGTTAATTTGCATAATTGATCAGTTCCCAAAGTAGGCAACCTAGCTAACTCTCTCTGTTTTTGTATTTAGGGCCACAGATGAGCACATGCTTGTGGCAAGGTAGAGTCAAACCTGTGTGATATCCCACCCCAAATGTCATCACAAGCCTAAGAGCTCTCTGCCAATGCCGTGAGATTTTAACTTGTTACCTATGGCTGTCATGTCTACCAATAAAAAATACAAAGTAGTCAATGTGAAATGCTAAAAACCCAAGCCCCGCCCCCATTTTCAGAAAATGCATAGTTAATGTTTCTGTAGTAGCATCAGCTTGGCCACATCACCTGGTTTCCATTTTTTGCTATGGATCTGAACAAAGAAAGGGTTGCATTATGAGCATTGTTCCTGCAAGGACTATCACTGTAGAAAATGTGGCAGGTGTACACTTGGCCATCTCTACAAGCTGGAGCAGACAATTCCCATTTTCTATTTTACAGTTACATTAGTGCTTTCTGATTTACCTTCATATATTTACCCTAAGGGTAATTTATTAAACCTCATTTTAATGATCAAATAATTAATGCTTAAAAAGAGTTAGAGTATTCAGGGGAGATAAATCCTTTAACTTCCAAATATTTAAGCAAGATGTTGACTGCAGATGACATAGAATCTGATTATTTCTTGTGCTAATATTTCAACTAAAGATACCTAGTAAAGAGGATGTTTATATTTTATTCTTTTATATGTCTTAAATATAAATTTTAATATGCTTATAATAACACATGTTAACTCTTAAACAACTACACTACATTTTCTCTTTAAATGTTTTGAAAACAAAGAATTTATGGCAAATATGCAAGCTTTCTCAGAAAGCACTTGTATTAGAATCATTTTGAAAAAAATCTTAATGATTGCTAAAGCAGTGATTATATTCAAGTTTAATTTCAAATAGGTTTGATGTTGTATGGAAAGAAGAAAAGTGGATCATAGAAACTATTTTTTTAAAATGGAATTATTAAGGGTTACTAAAAGCATGCTGAAAGCTAAGGGCAGGGAGAGAAAGAATATCATAAGGCACATATCTGAAGTCCCTTTTCCATGTCCTCCCATGGGAAGTTAGAGGTAAGAGGAGGTCGAGTTGGTCTGGTGGCCATCATAGGGATCAAGGTCATCCCTTTAAATAGCCTGATATCAGACTAACAGGTGTCAAGTTGTGTATGAGTGGCTGATAAAGCTTTATAAGGAAAAGTCAGGAAAAAATATAAATGTGCCCAGCTTAGACCTAGGATGAAATTCAGGTGAAAATTATAATTCATAATAACCAAGGATTTAAAAAGTACTTAATTCTAGCTAAGAGAAGTTTTGTTTCTCTGTAACATTGCCTATTTGGTGTTTGTGTTTATTAGTTGGGACAAAATTGGTTTTAAAATATTTTATGGAGGATATAATGAATTTAAAATTTAAAATCATTATAGCCACTTAAGTGTATCTGAAGCTGGGCTTTTCAGTGGCCACAAAGCACCACTTCCTCCTTGCTGAAACTGCAGGAGAAATATCTAGTAGACAATTGGTCTTGCAAATGACAGGTACAACCATTATGTTACTTAGAAGCTTGAGAAGTAAAGGGAAGGAATTGTTTATTCCAAATCATAAAATATTACAGGGTTTCTTCATATTGTCTCATTTATAAGGTGAGGTCTTTCCTTTAAATTTTTTTTTCAGAAAATTATCCCATTTTTTTTACTAATATCGTCTTTGAAAGAGAACTTGACTAACTGTGGAATTTTTCACCCACAGCATCTGCAGGAATTGCTGTGTCCCAGAGGAAGGTGCGTCAGATCAGTGATCCCATCCAGCAAATACTAATCCAGCTGCACAAAGTCATCTATATCACACAGGTCAGTGTTCCAGCCTTCTATTTCTTTTCCATCTGAAACACAAGTTGGGTACTAATACCACTGAAGAACTACCTTGTAGGACTTCCAGCTGAGTGAACACTTGTTTTTATTTCCTCCCAGGACACACGTGTAGGGAGACTTCTTGGCAACCAAGCTGGGAGGGCAACAGGGTAAAAAAGCAAATAGGTCGGGGTTTCCTTGTGATTTCTTCCTGCCCAGTGCCGCAGTCTGGCTGGGCACAAATGCCACAGTCTGGCTGGGCACACAATCACCAGCCACCACACAGCTTGTAGATTCAAACAGCAACTCTTTATTCCCGAACTCACACCAGCCGTCTACAAACACGTTCTGGGGAAATCCACGTTCTCTGCCCAAATCCACCTCCACTGGGCTTCTATCTCCCCAAGAATACTGTCTGAATCCCGTGAGAACTCAAGGGGAACTCAGGCAGCAGGATACGCCCTATTCCCAGCAGGAATAATCTTAAACCTCAAACCTGGAACCTAAACCGGGAACGCCCTAAACCCGATTATCTTAAACCAGGAACACCCTAAGCCGCCTTGGTCCTTGAGCAAGGTCACCTACATTCAATGTCACTGCAACATGGGGTACGCTGGCAAGGAAATTGTCATACCTACTTGGCTAATGGCTCCCAGCAGCCCAGCCAGAAGCAGACTTCCACACAAATGGCCCTTCCTTGTGTGTGTGTGTGTGGGGGGGTGGGTGGGAATAGAGCGGGGCTTCTTTTCCCATAAACAGCTTTACCACAGGAAATAGTGCTCCCACCACCATCCTTAATCTTGAGGATGCTCGGTTGACACTAGGAAGGCTCAGAAATATGAAAGCCAAAAACCACACAAAATCCAGGATTATTAAGATTTTCTATTTGTAAATCTCAGAGACTTAGGCACTGAGGAAAAAGAATCAGTATTGAAAAGTATCTATTAATGATGGACAGAAACCTGTCTAGTGAAAACAACTTAAAATATTCAATAAGAACTGTAACCATTTGGGCAAGAAAGTCAGTATTATGTTGAAGTTTATGACTGTGTGTTATATGTAGCTTATTGATATATTTGCTCACTGGATATGTGATGACTAAATGCCTGCCCTGAGCCAAACACAATTCCAGGTATTTGGATCTATCAGTGACCAAAGCATAAACACTTCCTCACTGTAAGATTCAAAGATCCAAGCAGGATCTAGTGTGCACCAATGACTCAGGAGACTGAGGTAGGAGGATCACAAGTTCAAGACCAGCCTCAAAAAAAGAACTGGGGATGTAACTTGGTGGTGAAGCACCCCTGTGTTCAATCTCCAGTACCAAATAAATAAATAAATAAATAAGATTAAAAAATTCTGCCTTGGGTTGTTGTCAGTAGCCAACTTTGGCAATTCCAATTTTCCATTCAAGTCCTGCAGAGAAATATCTAAAGATCAGTGGACCAGCTGGGATCATTATAAGTGCAAACTTGGGCTGATATTTCATTTATCACCGAATACCCTTCCTGCAAAAAATACAGCAAAATACTTTTTGATTGGTGCAACACAGTGGCATTTTAAGACTCTAGGAATTTGCTTATTGGTTTTTAACCAGTGTCTATTATTCCCAAAAAACCTGTGCCTCCTTTTCCCCAGTGTACAATCACTTCAGTAAATGGCTGCAGATCTCTGTGGGAAGGCTTGGAGGAAATGTTATAGTATGTTTCAGGACCTGCCTCCTCATCGCATCCCAGCTTCCGTATGATCCAAGGGGCTCTGGGCCCTTGAGTTGACTTAGGTCTGGAAACTATATTGGAAACTATAACAGTGGCAGTGGCAACTCCGGTCAGGATCTTGTCTGCCAGATCTGGAGCTTCTCTTCTGTTTCTTGGGCTCAGAAATGTCCTACCTAGTAGGCTGACTACTGATTTTCTTTCCAGGAACACCCTAGTTAATTAATTACCACCAAAGATGTCTGCAGTGAAAGGCTCTCTAACTAACAGCATGTTGCCGCTACCTTGTCATGAACGCTCACCACTTGTCACATGCTTTCAAATGGCCTCTCTCTGCCCATTGGATACATTGGAATACTGTGTCCTTCAGTGTCATAGCTGGCTTACAAAGGAGAGCAACCCTGGGGCCTTCCAAGGATGCAGAGGCTCCCCTCTCCGAGTATTTCTCAGTGCCTTACTAAAAGAAGAGCCTTTTGGGTGTTCTGTCTGAAAGCGGTGGGGGAGTGGACGTGCAGATCACATCTAGTAAATCCACTGCAATGTTCCTGTTTCTCTGAGCCTTTGGATTCCCTCCTCCACGTGCCAGAGAAGTTCTGGCACTTTACCATCACGAAACACAGGCCACCATTGAAAATCAGTTTCAGTCCACCAAATAGTTAAGCTGCACCTCCATCTGCTGAACTAACACATTAAATCTCTACTGTGTGCACCCACATTGATGAATTCAGTCTGGTCTTGTGCTATATTTTATCCTTCCTGGCCTAACATCCTTAGAATCCACTTCTGCACATGTTCTCTGGCTGGTTGCTAATATATAGTAGCAAAATCTTGCAATTCTTTTCGAGGATAGGTTATTTCCTCCAGAGTGGTGGTGGATACTAATTCCCCTAGATCATAGTGAGATACGTCTCTGGCTATGGATTTGGTCCTCATTGTTGTGGATCTTATGAAGAATGAGTATTTCTTTTAAAGACATCTGTTCCCATTGATTTTATCATCCAGTTTTCAAGCAAAGGGAGGTTTGTTTTCTTAGACACAGAGCAACAAGCTTCTTGCATTAACAATGAAGGCCCAGAGTGACTTGGGTTTTAAGACTGTCAGCATGATCTGGGCTCAGCGAGAAATCCCTATTCTAATTTTTAGTATCCTTTTCTTTTTTTTCTAACATTCACATGAAAAACTTGATGAAGTGTGAATTCAACTGACATTGTAATTTATCAGCCTTTCCAATTAAATTCAGCATTTGATTATCAGCCATATCAGTGCTTTGACAGCACAAAATAACAGGTTATTTTGGAGCTGCTGGAATCTTCCTGGGTCTCAGATCATGACTTGAACAGACAGTTAAAAGATCCACACTTGTTACTTTATCAGTGCTCCAATGCACTCAAAAAAGTCCATTCCATACCACAGTCCTTGTGGTCTTTGTTGTTGCCTGACAGTCAAGTGCAGTGGCCATTTGGGCTTTAGTCAGCACTGCATCGAGGTGATGAGCTGATCAGTTGTGGTGCCACTAAATGAAATAAGTTACTGGATCCTATTGGATATTGTCCTGTTGGTGACAAACCAACCAACCAAATTCAGCACTGATCCAAGGACACAATCATACCACTCCCCAAATCCTGTCTTTGGGGGTCAAGCTCCTTGGACATTCCTGGAACCTTTATCTGGTATCAGTGAGGGTCCAGTCAGAAACCACACAATTGTGTTAGTCACCTTTCCCTCACTGTCACAAATACCCAAGACAATCAACTTATAAAGAGAAAAGTTTTAGGGGTTTATTGTGGCTCACCATTTTTGAGATTCCAGTCCATGATGAGTTGGCCCTTGACAGGCCTATATCAAGGCAGTATATCATGGTAAAAGAACATGGTGGTGCAAATCCTCTCACCTTGTGTCTGAAGAGTAAGAGAGAGGAAAAGGAAGGTGCTGGGGTCTCACTGTCTCCTTCAAGTGCAGGTCTTCAATGACCTGAAGACCTCCCACTAGGCCCCACCTATTAAAGGTTCCACTACCTCTCAGTCGTGCCTCCTTGGAATCATGCTATGAACACCTGGGCCCTTGGGGGACATTCCAGATCCAAGCCACAACAGTAATTTCAACAAGGAATGAGATTAATATAATAAATTATTAACGATAACAGAATTTTATCTACTGATGATGAGGAAAGAAATCCAAAGCACATAGGAATAGCAGATAGAGAAGTCATAAGCTCTAGGACTGAGGCAGAGCACCTAACAAGGAAACAAATACGAACACCGCTTACTCTGGATTGAGGTCCAGACATCACTGGAAAGGTCAGAGAGATTTGCAAAAGTGTCATGCTGGGGAAAGTTGATCAGAAGCCTCCCTCTGGGGACCAGAGCAAGACATCACATGAGGTACCATGCTGTGGAAGTCGTTGGGAAATCAGCACTGGATGGTGTTGGTGTATACTCTCCATGGAATCAGGGGAGACTACCCAGAAGTAGGTGTTATTTCATAGAAGTCTCTGGAAAGCCACCTACAGAGTCAGTGCTACTGAATGTGACTTGGGGTGACCTCTTACCACTGGGGTGTCACTGTGTACCACTGGAGCAAGGCAACAGCATCGCTGGACCAGAAAGATGAGCTCCATCCTCCTTCAGGGTCCTTCCAGGGCCTTCCTATGGGCGAGGTTGGCATCCAGACAGCTGGTGAAGGAGAGCTGTGTTGGTTTCACAGGCAGGTCAGTCAAGGGCAGACTTGGAGCCGACGGGCACTGATCAGTGGCCCACAGACTGGGGACTAGGCAAGCAACTCTCTGGCACCACCCACACCCCCTCTGATTTCTGCCTCTAGACTGAGGAGCCTCTTTCATGCGTAGGGTTGAGCAGTCTGGTTCTTATGTCAAATTTTGTCCCAAAATCTATTGTTCTTTTTGGTCACCCTGATGTCTGCTCTTTTAGATGCAAAAGCCAAAATGGATTACTTTTCCCTCTTTTTTTCTGCCATCCTTTTTCTTAGGTAACCACAAAAACCTTTCCAAGTAAATGAAAAAGGGAGTGAAGGAGTACAAGGAAATATGTGTGTATGGGGAGGAGGGAAGCCCTGGTTAATAAATAAAAATTGTAATCTCTCTCTTATAAAGTATTGTATTAAAAATGCATCTCCATTTAACCATTGATATGGAAACATGGGAGACTATTCTTAACTCTAGTGTTATAGAAATAGTTTAGATGACTTTTCAGTTACCTCAACTAATAACTATTAAATTAAGAGAAATATCCTTTGAAATTTAAGTTCAGCTTCCATATGCCTGTCTCGGTAATTTTGATGTAAAAAAGGAAAAAAGTTTTTAACGGGTATATTCCATTTCTTTATTGAATTTCAAAGTATTTTTAAAGCAAGAATAAAACTATTGTAAATATCTGATTATTATGCTTTTAAACTGCCAGTGTGACAAATGAGTTCGCATTTTTTTTTTGGCAGAATGGCTTTCCTTACTCCAAGTGAAGATATAACTATCATGGTTTTTCAAATGTGTTTCAGAATGCTGGAAAGTTCATGACATTGCACATAGTAAGCAATGATTCCCCTCTGGGGAACTTTAACCTACAGTGCTAAACAAAGTTGATGCTTTTGACACAAATCAAAAAATACAGGCCTAATCATTATACTAGGGTATGTGATGTAAGTTAGAGACCAAGTCAGTTTTCTCTTTCTGCTAATTGCAAAGGAAACTTGGAGAAAGCAAGGTTGAATTGAGAAACGAATCAACCAACCAAACAAACCCTTCTTTCTCTCATATTTATGTACTTAAGCTTGGTGGCTGCCCTGACCTGAGGGCCACATACTTCCTGAAAACCAAAAGATGAACTTGCAGGGCAAACTTCTTGCCTTTGGCTGGTGGTGGCCTTTCCTGTCCAGTTGCCATGGAGACAGACCTGTGAAAATCACTTAAAAGCAACTATTTTACAAGGCAGGATGTTAAAATCCTTACTTCTGCCTTCAGTGATTTGACATCTGTTTCTGTCAAAACTCAAATGGTAATCTTAAGACCAGGAAGCTAAGAATGAAAAATCTGTGGGTTCGTTTTCATTGCCAGAAACCAAAATCAATCTTTGGCCTATAAGGTGACTACAAGTACACAGGTGACCTTTTAGTATGAGTTTTTATGTATTATTGCTTAGGTAAGAGCTGCACAGCCAAATTAAGGCTGGAGTTTAAGTCTATTCTGTGTTTTGATTGTCTTCTTAAATAAATGTGTCGAAAATCAGCATTTATCAATTTTTAAAAACTAAACATCTATCTCCAAGAGACCAGGCAGACAGTTCTGGTTGTAGATCTTCATGACTGCTCATCTTAAGAGCCACAATCATTACTAACAGGAAAAAAAATGCACAGTAATGTGCTGTCCTCAAATGAAAATGATCTTACTGGCTGTCATCAGGGAAACATGCAGTTTTTTTTTTTTAATTAAGATTTTTTTTTAATTGTAAATAGACACAATACCTTTTTTATTTTATTTTTTTTTTAATGTGATGCTAAGAATCCAACCCAGTGCCTCACACATGCTAGGCAAGCGCTGTACCACTGAGCCACAAACCTGGCCCCGCGTGCAGTGTTTTGTAGCAAAGGATTGATAAGAATTTAACAATTCATACTCACTCACCTGGATCACCTGCTTACTAATGGCAAGGTGACAGAGATTAACCAGAACAGGATATTTAGGGTAAATCTGTGTTACTCAAATCAACATATGTTTTCAGGGTCTGTAAATTCTAAGAGAAGTGTTACATTTTTGTGTGTGTGTTTGGATGATTGTCTTTGAATATCTCATCTAGCATTTAGGAAAATTTCCTCTTAAGCAATAACATGTCAAAATAACTTTTTCAGAAATAGAATCAGATACTGGTTTAGGTAACTATTTATCAGATGGAGCCCTATGGACTGCTAGTGGTCTGCTGATGTATTTTTGGACAGAGAATTTGGTTCTTTAGAAAGAATGTATACATTCTTTTTTACAAGTTTGAAAAAACCTACTAGAAAATGTACAGGTCAGATTTCATAATTTTTCTTTTGTTACTTTGTAAGGTGTAGTAAAGCAAACAAAATATAAGCTGTCAAATCTTTGGCTTTTGAGAAAGTCATTACCTTTTCTAGAATTAGTTTCTTTGCTCATAAAATGGGAGATCTTCTGGGATTACCATGAGCCTTGAAGGAAACAAAGTATATGAAAATATTAATAAACTATAAAGTGCTGTCCTGCAGTGACTAGTACTGTTGGTATTTGCTTTAGGGTAGCGATTGTGCTAGAACACTTACTACTTCAGAAAGTGTATTGCATGTTATATAAGGTCTTTAAGTTCTGATTTCCTTGCCCATAAAATAAGTGCTGCTTTATGAGTTTGTTGTGGGTAAAAAGTATGATCATGCCCATAAAAGAGTGATCATGGTGCCTAGCACATATGAATCATAGGTATTGATTTTCTATTACTGGTATGATAGTTCTTGTGCATAATATATCATTATACTCACATCATCTGCAGTTTAGCTAAGCATGAGTCATCACTCTAAAATTTAAAATTCTTCCATAAAAACTTTAACAATGAGATGCTGTCTATGGGGATCATTATTCCAATAAGATACAATAGCTTTCTAATACTTCCCAGTGTATGAATCTTTAAGTTGACTGAACGTTAGCTCATTCGAATGAGTTTTATACAATTTATGCAGGTCATCTAGAGCAGTAAGTGCAATTAGTTCTAAGTTAAATAGAGGCTTATCAAGTTAAATAAACAGCAAGATTTTTTAGAGTATCTGAATTAATTCGATACTGATAGCTGCCAGAGTACTGGGCTGAGGTTCCTTTAAAGGAACCATGAGCCCACTGGGTGCTTCACACCTTCAAGAGTTTATAGTACAGACAGTACTTGCTGCCTTTCTCTTGGACAGCTGTGCTGCAATCACACTGGGCCACAGACATATAGTCCTGGGCCGACACTGCCCTCTGGTGTTTGATTCAGTGAGGTGGCAACTTCTGGTGTGCAGCAATAGAGAATCCACCAAACCCCATGTCTCTCCATGGACTTTTCCCATCCCCTTCTTGCTCAACCCAAACCTTCGCCAGGAAAGTGTGTGTGTGTGTGTGTGTGTGTGTGTGTGTGTGTGCGCCTCTCCCCTTCATTGTCTGTTTCTATTGCACATTAAATCCATTCTTCTTTTGCTATTCTTTCCTGCACACATCTATCTTTTATGCTCATTTCCATTGTCTGTCTTCCCACTATTTGCTCATTAATGCTCAGAAATATCACTCCTTTATCTTACATGATTTCCCCCTTCCATCTCATGTGAAAGGGCTGTAATAATTATGACCGTTTGCTGCGGGTATGGGGAGGAATCAAGTTGGGATCAAGGGAAGAGATAGCTATAATAGTGACATCAAAAGAGATCAGTGAAGTCTTAGTGCTGCCAGATGATTAAATCCTTCAAAGCACTCAGAAGGGCTCAGTATCTCCAGAATAATCCATTTTCCCCCTAGTTAAGCCTACTTTAGCTCAAGCACAAGGATTACAGGTACATTTAAAAGCATTTTTGGGGGGTCTGGGGATGTAGCTCAGTGGTAGAGTGCTTCTTGCTAGTGTCTCTCTGTCTCTCTGTCTCTCTCTCTCCCCGCCCCAGTCTTTTCAGTTGCTCGGTGTTTCTGTGTTGTGTAAGTATAAAACTTCATAATGGGTCCCGCATTGTATCAGGTTTGGGATTATGAACAATTGTTCTTTGGCTACAAAATCAGTCATTGCAAACCCCAAAGACCCTATGCTTTGCTCTTCTATTAACTTTTACATGAATTTGAATGAATAGATGTTCTTTGTGTTATTCAGAATAGTATAAGTTGTATGCCACTAAACAGTACTCCCTCAAATCCCTTGCCTTGACACCATAGAAGGTGATTTCTCACTCAGGCTGACCATGTCGAGGCCATGCCATGTAGAAGAGGTGGACTCTGGGCTGCAGTAGGGGAGGATAGAGATGGAAGGAGCACCCTGGTTGTGTAAAGGAGGAGCATCCCTTCATCCTTAGAGTGATACACACCATCTTATTGGCCAAAGATAGCCACGTGACACCAACCGGAACTGGAAGGAAGCCTAGAAAATCCCAACTGTCTTTCCATGTCATTCTTTCATTTGATCTGAGCTTTTACTTATATCCTGGGTCTCTTCCCATTGAGCTATCTGTTTCTTATCTGTTCCTCTTCCCCTTTCAAGATCTCCCAATAAACAAAATGGAACACTTTGTCAACCCTGAGACTGTTTATAATGCTGACCCTGGTTCTTTTCTGTTATCCGTCTCCCAGACTTCACTTCATCTCTCTGTGCTTCTTGGGATCTTTAACTTCCTGTGTAAATCCAACCTGCAAAGCACTACAAATCATTTTTTTTTAATTCCTTGTTTTCATCTAGTTACCATATTTTCTAAGAGTCCACAATGACTTTCTACATATGTGTTAAGTCTCACTCATCCTGGCCGGGCCCTAATATATACTAATCTGTTTTGTCTGTCTTCTGAATACAAGCAGTTCCTAAAATCCGATCTCTCTCCAGCTGAATGTTCAGGGGCACTCCCAGGCAGGTGACTGTGAACTGTGGCAGACATGCATTTTCTGGTCTAAAGTATCAGATCCTTTATGACAAGGGCCACTGCCAGGGTGTTTACCATGGATGGTTCTGAGTGTGCTATACCCACCTAAACATTATCAAATGTACCCTACTTTGTCAAGGCTGTTCTTTACAAAATTCAATATGTGTGCAACTAGTAAATGGTTTAGTTGTTATATGAAAAGTAATATCAATGAGTATAACAATGATAAGATACATGCAAACAGACCTTTTGAAAGGCATCGATTTATTTTACTACTTTGGCGTCATAAGATTAAAAAAATCATAGCACAGAGTCATACTAATTTGGAATAAAATTTCAACGATAGCCCCATTGGCTGCACATTGTTCCATCGGCCCCCTGTAAATGCTGCCTGTGGTCAGCAATGCAGTGTTGAGTATTTGGTTTTAATGATTATTTTCTGATTTCATACAGCTTCCTCCGGCTTTGCACCACAATTTGAAAAGAAGAGTTATAGAGAGATTCAAGAAATCCCTCTTCAGCCAGCAGAGTAACCCTTGTAATTTGAAATCTGAAATTAAAAAGGTATGGTATTCTATATATAGGAATTCTTTAGCTGATAAAACACATCAGTTACATCTTATTCTTCCTTTACTTTGTGCTTTGAGCTCTATCCTCTATTAAAGGGTTTTATTACTGCTTAAAATACCAAATAAAGTGTAAGTCTTAGCCTCTCCCAAAGGTGAGAGCCTTTGTTTCTTTAGCCATTATTTTCAGATGCTAATAGAGAGTTCTTTCAGCATTATTATGTATTTTCCTAAGAATAGATGTTATTATTTATTTATTTGTGGTGCTGAGGGTTGAACCCAGGGCCTTGTGCATCTGAGGCACACACTCTATGAATTGAGATATATATCCCCAGCCCAAGAATAAATGTTATTATATATCTAACTTAATGTGTGTATATTTCACATATTTTAGAAGATTCCACCCCAATATTTTATTAGAAGGAGTCTACAGGGGACCCCCAAGTTGAACTTTGCCCTTTTAAAAAGGCAGTTGATGCTCTGAGACCATGATTTTGATGATTTGTGAGAGGGCTACATGAACTATTTCTAATGTTGTTTTTTTTCCCCATATTCAGCAATCTCCTAAACTTGAGATGCTAAAACATATTTTTCTTCATACATTCACATTTAGTGACTAAATCACTAAATTAACTATTAGTGATTGTTTAATTGTTTATTCTCTCATTAGCACAACTTGGTGGCAGTAAATCCCTCTGTCTTAGAAGTAGCCATAAACTCAGTTTTCTTGTCCCTGAAAGGCCCAAAACACAGGTCATTCAGCAAACCCAGGTAAAGATGCTTGGTCCCCTTTCAATTTTATATTTAAAAATTTTTTTCTTTCTTTCTTTTTTGTTTTTTTTTTTTTTAACATTGTTAACCTTGGCATGGACATACCACCAATGAACTTTCCCTTTGACTTTCTTTTCCCTATAATGTATCTGGTCTTAAACATGGATTAGGAATTATTCAGGGAATATGATAGGCTTTTCAATAAGAAAGGCTAATAGAACATTTGCTCCGCTGCCTTCCATCTTCCATGCCTGCACCATTAGTGCCTGTACACACTAAAAGGAGATGGGGAGGGTACTCAGGTTGTAGGTAAAGAAAGCACAAACCCTGTCTCATCAGAGATTAGAGAGGGAGATTTCTTTCATGCATTGTGTTGGCAAATAAGGCCAAGAAACGAAACCAGAGGAGATGGAAACAGAAACAGAGACCTCCCATATTTATTTAATGATACTTACACTCTGTATCCTGAAGACTAGTAAATATATTTTTAAAAGACAGAAGCTCATATTTCCCACAAAAAGATTACCTATTGCTTGGTTTCTCTATTCTTATTAAAGTGATATTCCCAATAATCCATTTTGTACATAAACTTATTTTACCAGAAATCCTAGTTTTAAAGGTGAAAGCTTCTACTACAAAGTGGTATACACAAAGGTGGCTCTGACTCTTCCTTACTCAGTGATTTTCCAACAGTGTGTGTGTCCTTAAAGCAAATCATTTTCATTTTTTATTACTCAGACTTCTGGTTCTGCATCCTTGCCTTGCTGTCTTTCTCTCTTCCCCTGAAGGCAAGGAGATTTCTTTTTGTTGAATTGCACCTCCCCCTGCAGACCTGCGCTTTCCTCCTCTGCACCACGGTAGCATCTCTTACTAGTGCAGTTAATTTCTCTCCCTTCTGGTCTAGGGAGGAAAAAAAATGGAGATTAACAGGTGGTATAAGTGTCCTGGGGGGATAGATATATCCTTATTTTCAACTTCATTTAAAAGCAGATTCAACTCTCCTGTGAAGATCACAGGGGTCCCCTTCTCTGATTCTATAAGCTCATGGAAGTCTATGGGACACCCTGTGTGGACCTTTGGGCTGGGAAAGAGGAATGCTCAGCTCCATCCAGGCTCTGTCGCAATCTACTAATAAGTAGGTTGTGTCTACTTATTAGAAGCTCTATAGGCTCCCAGGCTGGAGCCATAATGCTTAGAGCATTATGGTGTATGCCTTCTTGCTCTGTCCCTTGCAGAGGCAGCCTTGACCCCTGTGTGTTAAGGAAACCTTGCCCAGATGTTGACATCCTTCCTGTTCTTCACCACTGAACTGAGAAGTCAGCTCCTCCATAAAGGCTTCCTTTAATTTTTCCTGTTCAGGGTTAATCTCCCCTTTCTCTATGACTGGATCACTTTTTTACTCTTATATTTAAAGTATTTTTTCTTCTGACTTACAGTTCTGTTTTCCCCACAGGCAGTGTTTCTGATCCATTTTGAAGGGTTTTATGTAGTGCCTGGCATGTAGCAGGTCCTTGATGTATAATTATTGATTATAGAATGTATCATTTATATATTCTGTATCAGATACTCTCGGTGTACTCAATTCTTGATTAAAATATATAATGATGTAACATATTCCTATATTTCCATATGAATGTTGAAAGATCTCCAGCCCCCATCTAAATCTAAGTGAGAAAATTGTGAGCTGTTTCCCACCTTTCTGGTATAATCTTTTGCTTGCAATAATTTTTTTCCAGAAGTAGATTTTTCACTCTGTGTATAGTCCTAAAGGATTGGCCAATTAGCCTTTGACTGATCCAGTTGCCCCACAACAGGGCTGCACATAAAATACCCTTGATTCTCCTCTCTCTCTCTCTCTCTCTCTCTCTCTCTCTCTCTCTCTCTCTCTCTTTCCTGAAACTAGAGACCCCATGTCTCTAGGTTGAGAGCAAAATTAGGGCTGATTGTGTCTACTTATTAAGAAATTAGACACAGCAGGATATATAGAGAAGTCGAAAACGGACGAGCCCTTTCCTAGGAAATTAAAGTCCTTATTTATAATTCACCTAAGGTGGTCTTCAGTACAGCCTGCTCCGTCTTGCCTGGAACTGCAGGGACAATAAGGCAACCGAGTGACTATATCGGTGTCTTTGGGAACTAAGATTTTCATCATGGGAAAAAGAAGAAACAGAAGCGAGAGGTCAATTCAAATTAGCACTGGCAGTATCACTATGAAGGAATATAAATTCATGACAAATCTTAAAAAAAAATACACGTTTTCTAGTACCTAAACTAAAATGGTTTAGGAACTAACCAAGCAGCAGTGAGCTCCTCTATCTATCCATGGTTCCTCAGAGATAGCTGATGGGCTTGGAGCAGCAAGGACACAGGACTAGGTTGGAGTATCTTGACATAGCATGTGTGTCATCGAGGACAGCTGGGGGCATAACCTGCAAAGGCTCCCACTGCCTATCTTTGGGATAATTGGAGTACCCATGAGAGTAAGAACCAAAATGGATAATTGAAAGCATTAAATAATGTTTAAATCCAAGTGTTCATAATGATACTGAAGAAAATCTCTCATTGGTTACTTCTCAAGAATACTCAGTTCATTATTTTAAAAATTGTTTGCAAATGTATTCTGTCTGTCCTTTATTAACTCTGTCTTGGGGTAACTAAATGGTTGGTGAGGGGAAGTTTCTCATTATGGAAGGACTTACTAATAACTGCCAAAGGAGTAAAGAATATTATAGTTATGCAGCCCCTGGTGATAGAGTGGATCTAGATATGATCCTCCAATGGCTACTAACATCACAAGAACAGGTACAACCTGGCATGCTATGCCCCCTGATGGAAATGAACAACACTAAGTCTTCTTCTTGCTAAAAGCTTGCTTCTACATCTGATCAAGCCTCTAAATACAAAGTCAACCAGACTTTGTATAGTTAGAGCCCTCAGATCAATGTGGTTGCCACCTGGCTTTGCAAGAAGTTTTATTTACACAATCCTATGCATTCACTTATATATTGTCTATGGCTACTTTTGCATTCCAAGCAGAATAGTGTAGCTGAGACAGAGGCCATATGGCCTCTAAACCCAAAACCTTTACTATCTAACTGTTTTAAGAAAATTATTTGCCAATCCCTGCTCTGGATCAAGCTTACCACTTGCAGCAAATTCAGAAGAGAAAGAGAACATATTAATTGATAGCATGAGGATAATCGTGGATAGTTGGAGTATTGGAGTAATTGGATTAAAACCCATACATGGAAATTCTGCAGGAAAACTGACCTGTTTTTTTTCAATAAATATATTGTTAGGAGGAGTGGAGAAAGAGAAAGGAAGAGAAAAGGAGGGGAGAGAAGAGAAAGGAAGAGAGGGATTGCCTATAAAGTTTAAAACATTTTAGGGAAAATATCAACCACTTGCAATATATGGACTTACTCCTTACTAACTTAAAAAAAAAACTTGAAAAGCAAAGTTCAAATCACGTATTTTTTTTTTGAGATAATCAGGAAAATGTAAACATTGGTTGTAAATTTTGTTTTATTAAGGGATTAGTCATTTCTGTTGGGATAGCTGTATTCTGATTATTTTTAAAAATAAATCCACATTTTTTCCAGTGCCACGTTGAGATTTTATGGGTGGCCTAGTGTGTTTAAAGGGTTCCTTTTCCAGTTTCTGTATGTAGAACTTGCATAGGTAGGACAGGATGTGGAGGAGATATAAATGAGGCAACCTGTTTAAGCTGGTTGGTGGGTTAACGGAGTTCATCGTGTTGTCCTCTCTAGTTTTGTTAAATGTTAGAAATTTTTTAAATAATAAAAACAATCATGCATTTAGTTTGAGTGTTGATGCCAGATCCCTCCCAGACCAATGTCTGGGCATGAGTGTTTTGAAAACAGCTCACCTAGCAAAGCTGCCACATAGAACTGTAGTGGTTCGGTCCTATCCAAAAGCACCTGGATGAAGGGTTTACTGGGCTGCATCCTCTGGGGTAAGAAGGTGGCTTTTTAAAATTTGTACAAAAGCACAATGGGCACTGGAGCCATGTGATTCTAGCAGGTAGCAAGGGCTGAGAACCATTATGTTATAAGTTACAAACATCATTTGGACCAAGAATGAATACAAACAAAACAATCTATACCCAGGTGAGAAGCAGCTAATGATTTAAGCATTGAGCCATGGCCAGGAGTTCTTAAATTTTGCTGCTTACTGGAATTACCTAGAGCTCTTAAACATAACAGG